AAAGCATGAACGTAGTAAATCATTTGGTTTCTCAACAGAAATCTCACGCATATGATAAGGCAACTATGACAGTGTATAATTTTATTTCTCAAACATATGAAAGAATATGTGTCATTTAACTTAAAATAGATTGACTTCGCTTATATCCAGCTAGTTAATGGCGGTAATTTGTCACAAGTACGTACCTTTTTCAAAAATCAATAAAGTAAACAATTCTTTACACAGCCTTTTGAATTCCAATGAACGAAATAATACAAGAAATTTACATCGTTAAAGATTACGTTTATACAATTCAATTTTATACATACTTTTATTAATATAAAAATATGATGTCAAATGTGAATAAATTATAATGTAAGTGTTCGTTTCAGATATTGTTAAGCCTTTTTACAATATCATGTCATACAATATATGCCTTATATCGGGCTTTTATACACCATTTCCGACATGAAAGTGTAATATGATATTTTTAGAAACCGTTTTTAGTCACTAAACTATCAAACAAAATGTTCAAAAAGAATATTGTTGAAAAAAATAACATTTTTTTTTCGATTCGATTTCGATGCACTGTATTCAATAAAATGATTTTCTGATCTCGTTTTTTTAACATCATAACATCAAAAGTGTAAATTTAGTATATTTAAAGTAAGAATGTAGTCCCCGTTTTCTTACAAGAGTCTTTTGATAACTCATTCCTGTTTGATATACATTTCAAGATGGAGTAATATTCGATTTTCTTAACCTAATTATTGACTATCATTCTAAATCTAAGTTGCCGTCATCCGAATTTTTTTGGATAATTTGTTTGCCAAAGAGACATATAACTTTTTTTGGGGGAAAAAATCTAATGAAATATACATGTACATGTAACATATTCAATGATTAAACTCTTTTTGGACAACAAGCTATATTTTGTTTTTCGTCACTACACAGTGTAGTGTAACAACCTTTTTCAATCACCATAACAAATTCTACATAATTCAACATAATTAGCATATAAATTTCAAAATATATTACCTGTGAACGAGAATAAATGGTCAATTGACTATACAATAATTTGGGTTGCCCTGTAATATAGACTGATATAAAAAAAAACTTACCATGGCTTACTATCTCCTTCAGGGGAAATCAAAGAAATTAATATCGAATTCAACAAAGTTTGAACTGAAAATCACACAAAAATGGTTTCATTCCATATTACAGCAAGTAAAATAATGAAATATGTGAGGGCTATATGATAAAAGACTTATATATTGTCTTTACCAATTCAATGCGTCAGTTGTTTCAAACAAGTGAAAACTATCGGATAACTTAAGTATAAAAACAAAGATCGGCATTCAATGAACGCATGCATTCAAAGACTACTTTGAGTGTAAATGACACTTTGAAAAAGGCGTTTAAAACTTCATTTTATTAAACTTTACTATATTCTAGACATAAGCACAAAAAATTACAAAAGTTTACCATCTTGTTTGAAAATTATTGACAAATTAAGTTCAACTTTTGTATGGGTTTTAAACAAAAACAACAACAGTAGAAAAGTGGATCATTTACACTTGTTATCCTTAAAATGATGGTGGAATTAATATGTTTACATGTATGTGTCATTAATTTGCGCAGCAAAATAATAAAATGAAGATTATGTATAATTGTCTGTACGGTTAACACAAATTCTACATTTCAGTTTCACAAGATAGCCAGAACGCATTTTGTGGACAAGTCTTCATCAGGCCTGACTTAAGGCATCGTAAAAGCATCTAAGATTTTAGGTTTGTTGGGGTTTTTTTTCAAGATTTTTTCGGCTTTATGTCAGGACCAGACTTTTTTCGGAATTTTATTTTGGAAAAAAACCGACAATTTATTTTCTATACTTATTGTAAATCAATAAGAATTTAAATAGCATATATTTTTAGCTGTTTATGTAAGAACTGTAGAACAAAATGTAATTTACTTCCGGTTTGAATGTACGTCAAAGGGACAGTAATTTGTTTAAAATAAATCAAAATTCAATTTATGTCATCTCCCTTTACTTAAATGTACGTAAAAAACAAATATAATTTCAAGAATTCCATAAATATTTTAAATGCAAATAAAAATTCCATATGCGTTGGAATATCTAAATAATGACGACTAGGCTATATTTTTGTATGCGATTCATAAACAACTTTCAATTTTCGATCTACAATGCAACAATTTAGGAAATTTGTTGGTAAATATTTTATTTTCGATAGAAAAGGACACTGCTTCATCACATTTCATTTTCTCACCTATCAATCAACATTGTTTTCAGAGAGATATACATGTTTAAGTATTTTGTCAACTTCCACCAATCTTTATGATTCAATGGAAGCTGTCTGTCTTCATATAGCCCGTCACAAGATTGTTACTTCCGGTATCATGTAATTTTCTAATTTGGCTGTGTTAATGATAATTTTTCAAGAAACAAATCTTTCTTATTTCTTCAACAAAGTGTTGTAATTATATGCAAACTGGTAAAATATTCCCCGAGATTTAAGCATGATGCAATTCTTCCAAATCGTAGTCGCAATTATCTTGAAAGAACGTACGATTTAGTCAAGCATTTTTGCGGAAACTTATTATTAAATTTGCATGAAATTGAGATATTGGAAATTTAGTTGAAACTAAAAACGCATTATTTAAAAAGAATTAAAATCAAATACGTATAACTATTGTTATAATTATTATATGCTCAGTTTTTTCCATAACATACATACATGTTTATTACTAGAGTACTGGAATATCTGACGAGGTTTTTCTTTCAAGGAGTTTGGTTTTTAAGTTAAATTGTGTAAAATATTATAAAAAGTAAGCGCTGATATTAATTAAAGTTTCTCTACGAGTCTTAATCTATTATTTTTTTCAGTTCGGACATCAAGCCGACAGATAGAGTATCACGTAAATTATCATGGATCTCTAATGCAGTTTGAGCACAAGAAAATGTCAGCATAAAAGTTGAATGATATTTTAATGGAAATATTTGTACAATAAAATATCAACACCTTATTTTTTGAAATGTTATTTTATTTTATGCCTGGTGTTTGTACAATAATAATAATAATAATGCTATTTCAGCTATTGTCATGAGTCTTATTCTTGGTTCTACAGAACCATAAAATAGTTTGAACTTAAATTATAATATACATATGTAAGTATTATAGTATAATAACAGCACTCTTTATAGATGTGCGCCATTACTTTTATTCAACCTTCGGTTTCAGAACTACTTCATTAAAAACAATAGCAGACTCTATTTACTTCTTTTAACCCTTTCCCCCATGAGCATATCGTGAAAAATGGCCATTTTAACTGAAAAGCCTCCTCTTACAAGTTCAAACTGCTATGAAACTATGAAAAATGCTTCAATACTAATCAAACTTGGCACAAATGTTGACTGGACCATTGCCTTTGTAACGACATGCTCAGTCTTAAATTTCCTGTTACCATGGCAACGAGGGGACATCTCAAAATTGCCAAAAATCACTATTTTGCCTCGATTTTTTCCATCAAAATTTATTTCAAAGTGCTGCAACTTCTCAATGGATTGAGATAGAGTCAAAGGCTTTTCAGCGTTGGTTACACGTTACTGTATGATCAACCTGGGGTCATTTTAAGCCTCTCACAAGTCCAAAATTTTCTTGGCGATGAGGGGGACTCCGCCCCCCTTCAAACCCCCCAAACAGAAGGGGGCACATCCCCCTTCTGGCAACCCCCTGATGTATTATTTGGATGGGGGACGGCGCCGAAAAAATGGTCACTTTTTTTAACAACATTTCTCAAACGAAAAACAGTGTTTGGGGTCTAAATAGGACATTTTTTCACTGTTTGAGGCCTCAAAAAGGGGGGGGGGGCAAAAAGCCGTCGAAACACGCTTATATAAGGGAAAAGGTTAATTAAAGGTTTACTAGTAGATATATTGTACGGATAAATTTCTTTTCTGTTTAATGTTTCTTACTTTTATACTTCTGATATATACCGGCATGGCTAACCTAACGTTAGTTTAATGTCTCAGGGCATTTGAAAACGGAACAAAAGTCATAAGTCGAGATAGAAATATCATTGGGTTCATACACACGAACTTAGAAATCCACTAAGCCTAAACAGTTGTCCGATCGATTTTTTACCATTTACAAAATAAGTGTTAATAAATGTTTTGATCTTAATGATATGCCATGAAAATATCGTTGTTATCTAATTTCCTAGTAAGAGTTGAAACAGAAAATGGAACGACAATAAAGGACGAGTAAGATATTAAATCTATATAGACGACTATATTTGATTACAAAAGTACAAAATGAAAATGTAAATAACAAAATATCCAATGCATATGTGACAAACGATATTATAGGTAAAATCTCGATCATCATAAATTAACCATTTAAATGTAAATACAACATTGATAAAATATTTCAAATCTTTATAAACAGGCAACAATCATTTCAACGAAGTCTTAAACATTACATTATATTCTATTATCATTGATATGATTATCAAAACTTAATTGTTGAACAGCAAATGTCACAGCAATATTAATGTTTTGCTAATAATAAATTTCATTTTATATCAATCGATAAATCATTACTGTTATTCTCATCTCACCCGGTTGCATATCACCGAATTAGCTTTTGGACCTCTCACGGTATTGCATTAAGTGAAACTTAAAAAACATTTTCTATGCACGATACCAGGACCACATTCATCATACTCGTGTTTTGAAATCCACATCCAAATGTCGTCAAAGAAGAGAGAATTGATCTTCCGATCCAGACGGAGTACTTCCGCTCTGGTGGTGCAATGACCATCACCTTCATTGCGCTTGGAACCAAATAATCGAGCTCGCTTTTCATTCTGTTTGCGATGTCAGTTAACATAATTGTTCCACCTGACAACACAACATTTGTAAATAAGTACTTCTGTATGTCTATATCAGATTTCAATACAGAATTATAAAGAAGTTCGTGAGCACCGACGTTTTCCATTTCAGTGAAGGAAGGGTGGAATAATATTTCAACACATCGGAAACTTTCATTTCCTATAGTAATAACCTGTCCGTCTGGAAGCTTATAATTTTTTCAACGGTTCACTATCTAGCAGCCGAATCACGGATGATTAAGTTCAATTCTTAAACATATAAAATAGTTTAACTTGAAAGAAAATAAAACTGAAGGAATGAAGTAAAAAATGGCGTTTTTTCCTCTTTTTTTCCTAAATGATTTTTTCAGTAGTTTGGTACTGCATGCTAGTGAAAATAAAAATAAAAACCTTTTGGCCTGACTCATATACATTGTATTTATCTTCCAATGAAATGTCAAATAAACTTCTTGTTTATCTAATGAGGCACACATGACAGGTATTAATAAAGAAGAATTATTGATTATAAGGTCAAGATCATTTAATAGGCAGTAGACAGTAAACATTTTATTTTATTCCAATACACTTTAATGTCCGAAAGGAAGGACACAAAACATGCAAAATAACGAAAACTGTATGACATGAACATAACAACTATATACACTATTTACAATCTTCAAATATCTGGGAAAGATCAAGTATGATTGATAAAGAAATTATCAGCCAAAATTTTTTATAAGGTGTTACATAATTAATATTTTCATATCACAATAAGCACTAAACTTAAAGGTTTCTTTACCAGGTATCAAAACCTTAAACTTTACACACAACACTATGTCTCTTAAGATAAACTTAAAATTAAACTGATATGAATTTCAAACTGAATAAGAATACGTGTATTAACTTTTAGTAATAACAGTCTTAATAATACCTTCAAAAATGAATGTATACATTTAGTTAACTTGATAACAAAGTAAAAGTATTCACATTTCAAATCAATTCTGTATATTAATAACATAAAACATGAAACATATTTATAGCAACAATACATAAAATACAATGGTATATTGGGTTGTCATGAAAGAAAGTGTTCTCATTAACTATCTTTTTCTACGAGTAAATTAATCCCCATAACAATAACTTGGTTTTGATTTACAAAACAAACACACATATATAATGGAACATTCACGCAAAATTGTAATGATTAATTAACGTACTTACATAAATAATATTGACATATTTTTATACACATATTCTAAATATTTCAGATCCCTTCACATCAATTTTGGATATCGTAATTGAAATAAAACTTTATAAGTATACAAGAATTGGTGTTAAAGCATCGAATTAATTCGGTATCCAAAATCTGATTTCTTCAGTATTGGTCATCTCTTTACTATTATATTCCTAAAGTAGTTTTTACTTAAATTTTGACATTCACCTGAACTTTACATTACTATTTATAAATAATTTACAGAAAATAATTTACTTTTGTATGAAAAATGAAAACTTGTATAACTTGTAGCCTTCTACACGACCGAACAAAAATAAATTCTGTATCAACTATCAATAAGGACTAAATGTACACACAAATCCCCACTATTATATAAGTGCAGTAAATCAACAGACGAAGCAAACTGAATTGTTGTCATGAGATTGACTGAAATAACAATTATCAAAGGAATTTCTATAAAGAATCATCTTCACACCATTGATATGTATATGTTCATATGATCTTTTTTGTGGAACAATATTACAAATCAATAGGTAGTTAAATATTCGAAAATAAATGTTATTAACTAAATTAAGAAAATGACTGAACCTCATTTTTATTAAAAAAAATCTTTTTTCATACTCTATGGTAAGGTGTTTTTCTATAAATATTATAGACAAACCTGCTAATAAATATACATGCTAGAATATTCTCATTATAGTATTTTGTCTTATATTGTATGTAGATTTTCATGTCCATTTTGCCCATTTCTAGTAAAAATAACAGTCAGTATAGGTCTGTAAAACAAGCATACATGGACCTAAATAAAAAATGAGTGCATTAATAGATATAAATATAACGGAAATCAGTTTGGCATCAATGAATACACGTGATATTTAAGGCAACACAATATTTGAAAATTCTACACAATTTTATGCAACTTTTACTGTTCAGTTACAGCAGCTTTTACTATTCATGTTTATTTTATTTTAAAAATAAGCTACACATTCTTCAAAGCATAGTCATGTTCATTGTCCATTTGATAAGGAAATCTCAATTTTGTAAATGCTTTTGGAACCGCGGTATATATCATGTCATACTGAAACTCGTACCTGCAATGTTTAAAGTCACTCTCAATGTTTAACATGCTTTGTCTGTCGTCAGCATTTATCATACAGTCATTATCAGGCACATTTTATTTACAAATCGTAACGAGATTCCTTTATGCAAGATTTGATGAATTCGTACCTACTCCACCATTTACCTATCGTGCCTACATAGCTTAAAGCACGTTTAACTCGTTCTGTCATAGAAACACAATAAGGCGAACTATATTTCTTGACGCTTATAAAATCTTTGTTTAAATCAATAGTGTAATGCTTTTCTCGAACAATAAAATCATAATCATCATAAGCAACCTTTTCAATTTGAAACTTTCGTCCAATTCCGCCATCTAATGATTCAACATTAACAAGAATTCCATCAGTCTTGTAATAGATAACATCACCTTCCTGTAGCTCGTCTGCAAGATGAATCTCCATTTCTTTCATTCTCATAGAACGTGAACTGGGCTTTATCAACGACGAGTAATCTGCCTTATTTGTAATTGGCTTTACTTTTGCCCAATAACAGAGATGTTCAGATCTGTTGCTAGTGCTCCATTTCTTTTCCCCTATTCTCTTATTAGCCCGACTTATTGCCTCCTCCGTAGAAAATATACCACCATTGTAGTCTACACGATACAAACTGTCGCGCTTAAGATCTACAGCAATCTGCTCTCTAACTATTTTACGTGTTGTAAAAGTAAAAATACTTGGAAGACGATAATGAATACATTTGATAGAGCCTCTTCTGGTATCATTGTCATCGACCTGAACATCTGTTACGAGAACCTGATGTTCAAATAAAATGTATGATATTGATACTACGTCACCTGCATTTAACTCCTTCAAAGAGTTAATTGGATACTTCCCCTTTGAAATGATTGTAGCAATGTCTTGTCTAGGAACCTATAATTGAAGTTAACGAACACAGATATACAGCTTATGTTTATATAATGATATACGTGTTAGATATGCCTTGATTTCCACCATTATACATTTTAAAAATAATTCATTTCTAAGCGTTCTCACTTTAAAGGTGCATGTTAGGGTAACATGTAGACATATAGTAGATTAAAAACTACATAACTTAATAAATTCAAACTTTGAATGATCATAAATTTGATATTCAATATATTTTAAGATAAAATAGAAATGTATCCATAGGACGCATGTGTCCCCACTTTCAACTGTCTACTGTGATTCAGCAGGACAGTATGACAGAGGGACCGGTAAAAGATTTTATTTGCTGACCAAGAGTCCTGTAACGTTTCATGACTCTTTGTTTAATGCAAGACATAAGTGGAAAATTGCAAATATTTTATTTAGTCAAGGACAATATCTCTTCAAAAACTGCATTAATTAACAAGCAACTCCAACGTGAATAACTTCACATGCTAACCGACAGTTATGTTATGTTTCATGACTTAAGGTCGAATACTTATGGGGCCGCGTGAGACACAAGATGAAAATTCAAAAATATATACTTAGTCAAGGGCAATAACTCAATAACAAAACTGAATAAATTCACACACAAAACCAAGTTGTACAACTTAACATGCACGCCAACATTCCTGTATAGTTTGATGATTCTAACTCAATCATGTTACACATGACACAACATTTTGGAACATATTTACTAAGTCATGATAATTTACTCAACAAATTCTGATTAAACATACATGTATAAGCAGATGAAAAACACCAGGTGCACAACTTCACATGATGAACAACATTTCTGGTAAGGTTCATGACTGTAGTAAATTATTTTTTGCACAACGCACAACACAAGTCAGAAAATGCAAAGTATCGGTAAGTAAAAGGCAATAACTCTACCAATACTGAAAAAATGCATGAGTAAACCTAAAGGTTGTGCACAACTACACTTGCTGACTAACATTTCAGTAAAGTTTCATGACAGGTCAAATAATGTTTGAGCTACGTACGAAACAACTTGAAAAAATGCAATTTTTAACTAGGACGAGGGCAATAATGAATAAATCCACACGCAAAAACCCTAGGTGCACAACTTTACAAGCTGATCATGACTTTCAGTCGTATTCTTTTTGGGGAACGCATGACACAAATTGAAAATGCAATCTTTTTAATAAGTCAAGAGCAATATGACTCGTAGCAAATACTGAATAAATCGAAAAACGAAACCCCAGGTGCAAAGCTTCTCATGCTGATCAACATTCATGTACATTTATTTGCTAAAGCAATTTAAAAGTGACATAACATGAGAACGCACACACGAACGGACGGACATGAGTAAATCTAAATACCCCCACCCCTATAGTAGGGATACAAAAATGTGGTACGACGACCACGTTTACTTTGTTTTAAAAAGTTTAGAAATCAAATTTCTATTTAATCATTGTTTCCGTTTTCAGTTCAAGTACGGAGACTGAACACACAATTAAATTGTTACAACTTTAAGTAAAGAAGAAAAAACGGCTCATTACCAATTTTTGAATGTATGCATAATAACTTGTCGTCAGCTACATATAATGTAGAAAAAAGAGCTGACCATGATTGTCAATTATTTGCCTATGAATAATGGCTAGATTTTCAAATTCAAGGGCTGATAACTAGAATTGAGCTTGTACACCCCACATTTATTTTCGATTATCTGTTTCTGTATTTATATTCTAAAATTTCGCAAAGTTTAAATTAATTCTTATACGTAGTATTCAGTCTTCCATATGTCTACGCCTTTAAAAAATAACTAGTATTCTGCATGTATTTTGCATGTACCAATGCAATAGAAAATAATCAATACTTATTTAAAGTAAGATAAATGCGGAAGCATTGCGATGGTCGTATAACAGAATAGGAGCCAGACAAATTGCATAAATATGTTTTCAATACTTACCCGTACATACAATTTTTCATAAAAACAATGAAATGTTGCAAGACGTAAATTTTAATATATTTATAAAGACAACACATGACTTGAATTGTAGGTGGTCGTTTTCTATTTAAAAATGTAACATGTGTTTTGCATATACTAATTTTAAATATACTATAACTCTCTTTATAAGTCATTATTTTCATACCTCATCATCAGCGCTACATCCCGTGGCTCCGTCTGTTACCTTGTCAGCTTGAATGTGCTCGTACAAATTTGGCATTTCATCTTTCATTTCCATTGCATTTTCACTATTTTTGGGTTTACATGAATTTGACCCGTCGTCTTTCTCCTCTGCAAAAATAATATTTAAATGATTTTAAAATAAACCTTAGATAGCACTTTTCCAATACTCGAAACTACACGTTTAAACAACTGTTTAAAAATGTGTCCAGTGTTTTATATTATACCATGTAATATACAGGTAAAAGGCACATTTTAAGCATTTATTAGGATTTTACAAACTACAAAACATGGTAAATGCATATTTATATACACATGTTTTAATATCAAATAGGGTCTCTCACGGGTACAAATAAAAAGCATAAATCCCACCTAAAAGTAAATGTTTGTTAGTTCCTATATCAGCGCTTAACTGAATGTTGTATGTGTCATTTAACTCTCTCGAAAGGACATCGGCTAGTTTATTTACATCAGCTGTGCTTTTGACCGCATTTGCATCGAAACATCTGTAGACCTCATTTAAACTGGACACTGTGGCACATGATACTTTGATAGGAACGTAACATCCCTGTGTTTTAACTTCTAGAAACGATAAAAAACCAAACTTTGCATCAAAATCAAGGAAGAAAACAGTATCATAAGATATAACATATAAGTGAGTCAAATATGTACAAGAAATAATAATGCAATTAATAATAATAATAATAATAAGTAATAAATGCTTCTAAATGACAATCCTTTATTTAGCAATTTTTAAGTCGAAGTTTATTTATATTGATTGCTATACTCGTTTTCATCTCTAGGAAAATAGATATATTGCAAAATTCTTTTACTCTACATTACATTTGATCTGCCATTTCAATTGCGGAAAAACAAAGCTTTTATATTCTTTTACAAATCAAGATAGATAACTAATCGTTTACTTACGTCTGGGGATGTATTTGTTCAATGACAACGGTAATGAATTTGGAGTTAAAGGATGGAATGCTACCAAATGTAAGAATGTATACAATGTCAAGCTTTACCTGATATTTCTTGTAGTGCTACGATGCTTGTTGGCGAAACAGTTGCAAGTATAATAAACTCATCACTCAAATAAAAACTCAGACTCTGAGCCAAATCAAACATCTGTTCTTTTAAAGTGTTGCTTTCAAAATAGTCTAGCAGACTTAAAATGCCGCAATATGAGGTACATGTAAAAGTAAGTAGAATGCAGCTTCTTTCACTCGACAAAAGTGTTGCCCCATCAATGTTACGAATGTGGTCCAAAATTTTGTCAACAGCATCAGTGATTTCTTCATCTTCGTTTGAATAATTTGTCAATTCCAGGGCCTTTGATATAGTACAATTGACAATTTCTTCTGCTTTTACTGACATTTCTTTCGATGAACCCTTGATGTGCATCTTAAAAACGATTGCTGAAACAGTAAATAAATTGTAGCGGATCCTTAGAAACATTCTGAACCTTTTCGGAGTGTACACATATTTTGTATAAACACATTGGATCCTCTGATCGACTTAAAAAATACATGTATTAGAAATTGCCATTTGCTTATTGCAAAAATCATTCTTGTAACATAATGATGAGTATGAAATAACAGTAATAAATGTTATTATTTTAGATTATTTGCTCAAGTGTCACATTGCCTGTAGAATATATCGTAGTGTTTTCTACCATTTGGTTATTAAAAACAATTTTACGTCTTTTTAAAATATTTCTATAAATACAGATTAAAATACGATTATGAAGTATTGTATAATTAATTTGCCTTACTTTTCTCCTCTCCAAATGGTATTCCCTCTTCTCTCATTTGCTTCAATGACTCTTTCAGTTTATCTACATTTTCTACCAAAAATAAAATTTCATTTTTCATAACTAAAATTATACAAAGTTTGCAGTAGGTGAAATTTCTGCATAACAGGACAAGTTATACGCAATATCTGTGGGTAGTAAATTCGCTTCGCGAGGATGAATCACATTATTTGTACGTGCAATTTTATAACAGTTAACAGAAATCTGGAGGCGTTCTGCTCAAATGGTTATTTTCAAGCATTAATAGTATTTTACTGAAGAAGGAACTATAAACAAGCATTTCTGTTTCCATTTTAAGATTGTTTATTTTACCGGTATTTCAGAAGACTTCTAAAAAGACCATTTACATACAGGGGAATCATTGCGTATATCTTTTATGTATAATCATAATATTTTAAGCATGATGCACAAGAAAATGTAAAGCTTCGTCCAAACTTATCCTTCTATCTGTTAGATTTTGATTGGCAACTATTTCAATAAATATTTTACCTTTGTATTCATCTGATAATGTTTTCAATCCCCTTACGTTTTCCACTATTTCTTTTAAACATTCGCCTGTTTCTTCAAGATCTTCATTCTCGCTTATATGATTAACTTTCTCTGTTAGACGTGATTGGATTTCCGTCGTTTGTTTAGCTGCTAGCGAAGTTAGGTTCATGACCAAAGCAGTCCATTGTCTGATAAAAGTCTTATTCGATGTAAATGCGACCTCTGTATAGCGCCTTCTCCAGCAAATAAGTTCTTTTACAGCACTAACTTCACTCTCGTCCAGTTCGCTTGGGAATAAATGTATTATTAGAGTTCCTAAATGTAAGATATCCAAATTATCCACTTGAATACTCCCATTTCTTACCCCGTGAGACAGTAGATCTTCTAAATTTCTATGAAATTCATTCTCAAGAAAATTTCTTGTTTGTTTGAGCATATTCCATATTTCTTTGTCCTGGTATGTTCTCGTTTCTCGTTGCCATATACCGACAAGTACCATTCTGCCGCCTTCTACAAGCAGACTGAAGTATTTTCTATGGTCTTGTTGAACATACTGAAGTTTGTCGTATAATTCTAAAAAATGAAGAAAAGATAAACTGCTAATATTATATCGACATTCTATCATGTCTTGATTAAGCTATTTAAAGTAACAAAGAAATGATGCGCCTTTATACAGGAATATAACGGTTAATTGGGGGAACATGTAAGTTTTACACAAATCCAATTTATCGTTAAGTAGATTCTTTGAGTCTCTCTCTCTCTTTTTTTTTACCGGGTTTCAAGTTGCACCAATACTGCAAATGTCATTTGGCAACTTTCCAGCAATGTTGGTGGGGGGAGGAAGAGATGCAATTTGCATGAAGTCTATGATCATAACCACTCGGCTAAACAAATTTTTTAATCATTTATTAACTATTGTTAAGACCGTGATTTTTATGAGAGGTCATTAAATGAAATAGAAAGCCACTGAGAAGAGTACATCAAATACGGTGTTGAAATTGATATTGATATATTGAAAATATACCTTTAGTCTTTTTTGCCATATCCGCTACCTACAACATATGAAAAGCAGTTGTTTATTACAGACTCAATGTTTAAGACATTATTAAAAATGAACAACGCATAAGTCCGGCTGTGAAAAAAGATATACTTTATAATAACAATTACAATGTCAGAAACATTTACAAATATCTGGTAAAAAAGTGATCCATCGGAAGCATTAAAAACAGGAAAATTTCATGAAAATAACCGACTCGGCTTGATTGAGTCTGACATGATAGATAATGTTATCTTTAATTCTACTGGTTATGTTGGTGAGTTGATCGCGCATGGTAAATCTAGCTATTTACTTTTTACAATATTCGATATTTTGTTGATCGTTTAAATTATTTTCTAGTAAAAGGTGAAAAATGACAAAGGTCAAGAAAAAGAATAATGCCATTCAAAAATATATGTTATATATTGTTTCTGTAGGCTTATGTCATGGAGTCAACGGTGGCCTATGCGGAAAATTGACAACATCTTGAAAATTGTATAAGAACTTGACAATTTAAAACAACAAATAACACATTTTAAAGTATTTGAATCAATAAGATTTTATATTTGTGGAAGTGTATCTATGAACAAATGACTAAATGGGTTGGGAAGAAATCATAATTAAAAGTTTTCACAAACAGTACTTGCCTGTTCTTGTAGTATGTTTATTTCAGCATACCACATTTGTACAGTTTCTAAAGCTTTTTGGGCGTCTACCGTTGTTTGCAGTGATCGTGTTGTATACGTAGAGAATTTTGTTTCATATGAAGCTTTCTCTTTTAAATCAACAGCCTCAACAATTCTTAATAGCAAGCTTTCTGTCTGTTGCCAAAGATCTGTGAATTCCGTGTTTGACAGTTGTGCTTTTACATGGTGTCCAACTATTTCGTTTCTTATTCTCTTCAGCCTTAGCAAATCTGCGCCGATCGAGAAGTCGTCTGAAGCTGGAGGGAAAGTGCCCCAACCGTTAATGGGCGCCTTAATTTTATCTTCAAAGATGTTACTTAGCAGCGTTATCAGCAACGTCAAGTCAAATTCACGGGGATTTGGATAAGGTAATGTCAAAATTCTATACTGACGAGGTTTTAATATGTTTCGTCTTTTCATGTAGTCGAGCTTTTCTCTTACACCCGGTTCAGAAAAAAAGGCAGAAACTTTTTCTTCAGGTTTTAGATGAAAGAACAAAAGGAGCATCACTTCAGTTCCAAGGTCAATCACCATGGAAATAAGGCGCAGATAGTTTGATGAGTTCTCTAAATTGTCAGGCATTATAGCCGTTTCCTGTGTCACAAAAATGTAAAGGAGATATTGGATTACTATCAGCAGGTACATTAAATACCTGAAACAATTTAAATCGCTGTATACAAAATTAAATCAAATGCTATGGAACAAAATTCGCTTTACTTTAGTACATTAGAGAGAAGTTTTACTTCTAAAGGAGTAAAAATTTAACATGTTTGTATATAGATGTATACCAATTCAATTATCTGATTTTAATGTGACTTGATGAAAGATATACTAAAATAAAAAGTCTGTTCTAAACCTGAGTATCATACGATTTGAAACAACATGTTCGTATACACTGGTTCTTGTAAGTGAACATACCCCTATGAATAACCTTTCATTGGTGTTAAAGTAGACAAACTTTCATATACTTTGCACAATGTAGACTATTTATTCAATAAGGATATATATTTTTGTGATCAATAATCCCAAGAGCACACATTCAAAAATATATAAAGATATAGAAAGATTATATCGTGTACAGTATACAGTATTTCTGAGTACAGTAAACTTATTGGGACATTCAAAATATGTGCCATATATCCGGAGTTCCTTGTAAGCATATAGGGAATTAGTTTTTTGTATCAGGAGTTTTTATAGCGAACAGTTTACATATAACGAACCCATTGTTAACCATCGTCAGTCATTTTGAAGAGCATTTGATTAAGAAAAAAGAGTCATATATTTCTTTTTAGACACAATATCCGAGAGCATACTTTTGGAATTTGAACATCCTTTGCTATTTCATTTTTAGTTTTTCTACCTTTCTCAATTTCTCATAAAATATCATATTTTGTTTTTTAACTTTACTCGAGCAAATCTATTAAAGAAATGAAATAATAGAATAAAAGGAAAAACCGTTTTATCCTCATGCTAAAATATCCTAAATTGAAAACTGTTATGTACTGATATACAAATTCATTTTCAAATATGTATTGAAGTACAGACATTAATAAACGGTACATTCGGCCAGGTTAAATTCGTGCCAATGAAAATAAGATTTGAAATGCAGGATCTATTGGCGGAGAATTCGTTATAAAAAAGTAATTATCTGTACTTTTTACTAAAATTGGACTAAGAAATGAGTTCCTTATAAGCAATAATTCCTTATAACCGTGTTCGCTATAACTGTATTTTTATATCAAATAAAGTAGGGCAAAATTCGGGCCAAAATTAATAGTTCCTTATAACAGGAAGTTCGCTATAACCGTGATCGCTATAAGTGAAGTTTACTGTAATACTAAAAAAATTACTTTGCATTCCACTTATTCCTGGATTAGTCCATTTCATTGTTAACAAAACTGTAAAATGTATCTCACCTAGTTTGGTTTATCTTAAAAATCGTTCAACACGACATTACAGTTGAATTTGTGGTATTTTAGTTCTTTCACTTTAGCTATTTTTACTTGGGTGGTTTCAGTATTCTTTTCTTGAATACCGTATAATCACCCTTAGGTTATGTTGCCCTTATGTTTGACATCTTATCTGTTATATGCAGGCTTCATAAGCTCTGATGCCCTTTCAAAATTCCATTCTGTTTAAGTTCCGCTTATTGTTTTCTTGTTTAGGGCACAGGCATTTTTTTCACTTAGGGGCTATGTCATACGCCGCTTTTCGTGGAATGGCACTAACGTGTTACATTGAAGGCTCCATGATCACCGCTATATGATGTTTATATTTCATTAATATACCCTTACATGTTTAAATGTTGATTTCTACTTGCCAGTGAAAGGGGACATGGGCTTGCAATTACCACAATAATCCATGACCAGAGTCAATCAAACAAAAAGTTAATTCGGTTCCATCGGCTTTTAACGCAAATATTTTTATTGTTAGTTTATTTATATGCCATATAAAATTAATGTATACAGAGTATAGTCTGGTTTTATTGACGTGTAAATTATGAATACATTATAGCACTCATTTAAATATTGGATCCAACTTCGGTTCTGTATAGTTTACGAGAATAAATATTGAGTATATAGCTAATGTTTTGAAAGGCAACACAATCTTAATGCATATGTCACTGTTGTTTTAGACCTACTCTTTTGTTATTTTTGCAATTTTTGTCTCGGTTTGTATTGTGTTTACGGCATTGAAATGACATGCATTTATTGTACTTTGAATGAATTTTAAATATTAATTCTTAAACCATGTTATTTAAAAAGAGTATAGACGTTACCAAAAAAATTCAAAACACATTAAAACAAAACGAACAAGATAAAATAATCACAGCTTCGATAATGTTGAGAATATAAATATGGACATTTGCGGTCTCGATCTTTTAACCATATGGCACTATAACGCTCAGTATAATAATTTCATAGACACAAATTAACTTAATCACATCTCACGAAAGTTATTGAAAGTCGTCGAAGAAATATATATTGTGTGCAGTTCCGTATAATCAGGTTTATAAAATAAAACAATTTAAGGGTATAAATGTTTACATTACAATCAAGAATATAATATGTTTTCATAAGTTTTCCAGCATTATCACTTTAAACGCGCTTCCCCACAACTTTTTGTAAATAACACGTGCATATAAGTGGTGTCCCTTTGTTTTGAGTTTACTAATGAGATAATACCTCCATCAAACAAACAACAATAAGTAATAGAAAGAGCATCGAAACACGAGGCTATCTGATTTATACGAGGGGGCGTAGCCCCCGAGTATTAATCAGATTGCCGAGTGTTTTGATGTACTTTCTCTTTTATATCATAGTCAAACATAAAAACTCGTTTCCTGTTGTCATGAAAAGTTACCAATGAACGAGCATCTAAATATGAGATTTCTATCGCTTTCCCTTTCTCTGCCGTCACAATAAGTAAACCAAAAATGAGCCAATTAATGGACATGCTCTGGAGTACGGGTAACTAATACCTGCTCTCCAGTTAACGCACGTGCATGTATATGTAAACGATTTATCTCGGACAAATTTTCAACAGAAAGGTCCCCAAACTATAATACAATGATAATTTTTATGATCTGTTACAATTCATCTGAACTTTAAAAAAAAGTCTGTGTTTTGTATGCATTTTCAACTTTCTGGTAATGGAGAGTTACATCAGAATGCTGTCTTCTTATATATAAATTGCTTATAGGTAAAGTTAAAAACATTTGTCAAATTCGTATGCCTTAATCTTGTCTCTCAGGTATAGGTGAACAAATAAATACAGAAACCTAATTGTTATTTAAGTTTCAGTTTCAAGTTCATTTATTGGCAATTAGCAATACATTTGCCTTTTGCCATTTACAAACAAAAAACTTATGGCAACGACTATTATATAGAACAGTACACCAGCGACTTAATAATGTGAAATTCGTGGTCACTATTATTGCACGATTGTGTCTCCGCCAAAACGTGAAATATTGTTTCCCAGGAAGTTTCTAGGAATACAGTTTTACTAAGATATATTCAAACATAGAATGAGTTTTTATTCAATGACGTTTTCTACCTTCGGGAAAATTCATTTTGCTGTTGTAATCCTTATAACAGTATGCAGTTGACACTTTGTCTTTTTTAAATCATTATCACAATTTACAAAAGATTGATAATTATTATGCAAGTAAATGAAAAATAATAATTCCTCCCAGTATTGTCTTTGTTAAACTTGATTTATATGTACTTCTTATGCGTTAAAGGTTATATCTAGCATAACGCGTAAATGAATGAAGTGTTCATTATATTTTAAATACTTTAAGAAATAGCTAAATATGAAAAAAAAACATGAACGGTGTATCATTTGAAATGGCTGTATGAACAGAAATTTCACGCATATGACAAGGCAACTATGACAGTGTATGTTTTTTTCTCAAATATATGAAAACATATGCGTCATTTTACATAAAAAAGATTGACTTTGCTAATAGCCAGCCAGTAAATAGCGGTAAAGTGTAACAAGTACGTCACCTTTTTAAAAAATCAGTAAAGCTTAGGCGAATCAATGAACAATATTTTACACAGACTTTTAAATTCCCAGTTACCAAATAATACAAATTTTGACATCTTTAAAGATTACGTTTATACAATCCAATTTTATCAATACTTTTATTAATATAAAAATATGATGTCAAACTTGAAAAAATTATTGCTCAATTATTCGTTTCAGACATTGTTTAGCCTATTTACAATATCATGTCATAAAATATATACCTTATATGAGGTATTTAAACATCATTTCCGACATCAAAATGTTATATGATTTTTTTAGAAAATGTGTTAAGTTATCAAACGATCAAACAAAATGTTCAAAAAGAATATTATTGTTAAAAATAACAAATTTGTCAATCTGCAAAGATGCACCGATTTCAATAATCATTTTCTGATCTTGTATTTTAACATTATAACATCAAATGTGTAAATATAGAATTTAAAAAGTGAAAATGTAGTCCGCGTCTTACAAGAGTCTTACTTGATAACTAATTCCTGTTTGATGTAGATTTCATGATAACATTTGATTATCTTAACATAATTATTGACTATCTTTCTAAATCTAAGCTGCTTTCATCCGAAATTTTGTTTGACAATTTTTGTCAAAGAGACATATTACATTTTTTGGGTGGAGGGGGGGGGAGTCTAATGAAATATGCATGCAACATATTCAATGATTAAACTCTTTTTGGACAACATGTTATATTTTGTTTTTATTCGCTACACAATGTGGTAAAACACCTTTTTATTAATCACCATAATAAATTCGACATAATTCAACATAATAAGCATATGAATCCAGTGACCAAAAATAAATGGTCAGCTGTTTACTATGAAAAATAATTTGGGTTGCTCTGAAAAATAGACTTAAAAAGCTTACCCTAGTTAACTATTTCCTTTAGGGGAAATAAAAGAAATTGACATTGAATTCAACAATATTTGAACCACCGGAAATCACAAACAAAATATGGTTTTATTCCTTGTTACATCAAGTCAAGAATTGAAATGTGTGAAGACTGTATATTTAAAGACTTATATATTGTCTTTTTAAATTAATGTGTCAATGTGTTTTTAAACAAATGAATTCCCTAGGATAATTTAAGAATAAAAACAAAGATCAATATGGGCGAATAAAGAAGAGCGGCATTCAATGAACGCATGCATTCAACGACTACTTTGTTTGAATTTAGATCTTTAGGTGGCAATAAGAATGAACATGCAATAGTCAAGATGTTTATCAATTATCTAATATGTAATCACAGTTCACAATTGTTGAAGTATATATACATGGCGTTTTGATCAGGTCATCACATTGACTTATGTCGATAAGGTGCATGTCTTCACCAGCCCCCCCCCCCCCCCAGCTTTATCAGATACCTCATCAATACATATTGTAATAAAGATAATGGAATTTTTTACCTCTTACCAGTTTGAAGTTATTTAAAAGATAAACTTTGAATCGAATACATTTTTGGATTTTAAAGTCTCTTCTACATTTGACTAAAATATTTGGGACTATTTTCTTAAATATATGACTCTTGGCATATAATACCGCGCGGCATGATCTCGCGAGGATCTTGACAGGTTTTTGTTTCATTTGAAATGTAAAGAAAGAAACGCATATATAAATTGCAAACATGATCAATAGAATACCAAACAATTGTCTCATATTATACAATTTATCAGGCTTGGCACGAAATAAGAAGGGCCTGATATTTTTTGTAATATCAGACACTAGCATGGTATCCTTTATTTTCATATCATGTATATTTCTTGGTATAAATTTCTTAAGTATAAGTTTTATAACGCCTTGATGTATTTCTGTTATATAAATGGTCCGCAGTTCAAGTTTCATTTTACTTAAATAAACCAATTATTATTTATTGTCTGAGTAGCAAAGTACGTGAATTTAATTTAAACAATCCACCTGATGGTGTAAATGAAATATTTCAAGATTTTATTATTATCCCAGAGAAACCTTGAACCTGTTTAAATCGTAATGATCTTCTTATTATTCCAGTCAGATACGTAAATATAGGATATACACTATAAATAGATACAATACTACATGCGTTATAAAGAGTGTCTATTAAAATACTTTTCAAAACTCAAAACGTACATCAGTTTTAGATAGTATTGTAGAAATAATCTAATAACAATAAACTATTAAAGTAGCTAATTTGTGTGTGATGTAATCATGCAGGCAGTTTGTTATTATCTTGACTTTGGATCTACTCAAGTGTCAGAATATTAGTTAAGTTCTTCAGACAGTGACAATTCTTCTCTCTGACAATAAGGTAATGCTTTCTCCATAAGTAACCTTAGTCTTTCTATTTTATAATGAAAACTCAACAACTCAACAAACATGTATTCTCTTCATTCGTTGTTTATTCAAAGAGCTTACATCTTACCGCAACATTTTTGTATCTTTATTTTGAAAATATTTTTACTGGAGATAACTTTTCCAGCACCGTGTCCAACAAAATTTATAAGCATAACAAATAGTTGACTTACATTTCGAATCATTTTAGCAACAGCTTGGAATCACGGGTACAGTTCAAATTAACGTGATCAAATGTATTATCAATTGAACGTTGACAATGTGTAAAATTACGATTGTTATCATGTTTTAATTATTTATCCTTTTTGACGCGCATTGCATTGTCTAACATCGTCACACGAGCATCGTGCGAGTCATCTAGCATCTGAGTGATTAAGGTCATTGACTGTGAATCACTTGACCCTCACAGCAGAGGTGATGAATCTCGTCAGGGACTATGGATTATATCATATGAGAAAGCTATCTAGCTACGTACGGAACATCGGTGGGTCTACGAAGGTGTCCGTTTGTGCCTGAAATAGGAGGCATCTGAGATCTTTCTCCACGAGTAAAGCTAAAAGTCGCCATATGAAAATCAAACTGTAGAGTTCAATTATAAAATTAGAATATTTTGCGAAAATGAACAAGATATGAACAAAGTAATTTATTGACCTACATATAAAATAATCTATAAAGGCTAAGTATTTTAACAGATATATCGAGTTATTGTATTTTTGTTTTGTTCAAAATTACTTCTGATGGAATTTGTATAGTCAAAAGATAATAAATTATTTTTTGTAGGTTATTTGATTATCAATTTCGTAAACCACCTAACCCTTTATTTCATTAGCAATAGTCGTTCATATTGCCTATGACCATAAGATTATTTCTTATTCTTAAAACATCTAGTCTTCAAACGCAGCAAATTACCAGCAGCTTTTACTGTCTGTCGTTGTTCGGCTAATGACAATACATGTACTTCTAAAGCAGTGCCGTTTGCATTGTTCATTTTATAAGGAGATCTTGATAGGAGTAAAACTGATTTCGATATCATTGCATACGATTTATACTATTTATACTATTTGACTCAAATATGCAGTCGAATGTTGAATTATTGAAAAGTCATTCTTACTGTTAACATGCTTACTGTCGTCTACATGTAATCATTTTTTTTATTTACTGTCCAGCAAAACTCCTATCAATATCTTTGGTGGACTATTTAATTAACCCGTATTTGCTTCACGCCAACATAGTTTAAAGTACGTTTATCTCGGTTTGTCATAGAAACACAATGAGGCGAACTATACATCTTGGGGCGTATAACATCTGTTTTTTAAAATAATGGTGAATTCTTTTCTTTTCTTTTCGAACAATACAATCATACTCATCAAAAGCAACCTTATCAACTCGAAACTTTCGTCCAACTCCGCTATCCAAGGATTTAACATTAACAGGAATTCCATCAGATTTGTAACATCTCTTCCCTGCAACTCGTCTGCAAGATGAATTTCCATCTCTTTCATATTCATAGAACCTGAAATGGGCTTCGTCAACGAGGACTTTCTAGTGAGTGATAACTGGCTTTACTTTTGCTCAAAAGCAAAGATGCTAAGACGTATTGTTACCGCTCCTTGTCATTTCCCAAATTGTACTATAAGCCCTACTTATCGCGTATTCTGATGAAAGAAAACGCCAGTGTAGTTTACAGACTGTCACGATTAATATCTATGATAAATTGTTGTTCAATAAATGTTTCGTCTTGTAAAAAGATGTTCATTATTCATTGCTATGGCAGGAAAGTATAATGAATAAATATTTTAATTTTATATTTATCAAGACATATATTTCATTGCTTTTACTTAAGAACGCAAATATATTTTTGCATGCGCTTAATTCAATTAAGCAATGTGATTCTTCAGTCTGCCCAGGAATGATGCGTAGTTTGAACTGTGCTCTGGTAAATTCAATGTGGCCTACTGCCGTGATCCGGAGTGAAAAAAACTACCACCATTTGCTTTCAAAAGAAAATCGTTAAATCATGTTTCAAATCTTACGCCTTCTAGTATGCTTATATATATTATTTGATATATAAACGAATATATCTAGTGTCGATGGTTATTGAGTTGAAAAGGAGAATAATGTCGATGATTATTGAGTTAAAAAAAAGCAGAAATTCTCTCAGTTTGAGTTTTACTTTTACAATGTAATACTATAGCTGAATCGCCTGAAGTGTAACGATGCTTGTTGGTGAAACACTTGCAAGTTTAACAAACGAAAATCGGCAATTTCTTTTGCTTTTCTTGACATTTCTTTTGATAAACGTTCGATATGCATTCTGAGAACCATCACTGAAAAAGTACATAGATTGGAGTAGATCTTTTGTAAACAACATTTTGAATTTATTTTGAGTAAATATTTCCTATTATGTTAATACACCTTCTTACTGCCTTCACTAATAACAATCTATATCTGTATGACATGAGAAATGATAGGAAATTGATCACCCATACTCTTTTAGCACCCATTGAGCGACTCTTAGTAAAATGATAACACTAAAATTAGTCGTTCGCGAGGAGATAAAAATATTATTAAGTTACCTCTAGAGTAAAGCTTTATTGTCTTTTTCGTGTATTGTACTGATTTAATACAAGTTAATCAATAAATGCAAACAATCATGAATTGCGATACTTTTGAAATTTCACAATAAATATAATTTAATTGCATAATAGGTCTGTGTTATTTTTCTCTTCTCCGAATGGTATTCCCTCCACTCATTTGCTTCAATGACTCTTTAAATTTATCTATATCCTCTAAAGAAATGAAATTACGCATATTGAAAGCTGAACGGATCATCAAAGAGGCACGAAGTCAGTTGAATAAAATGAATCTAGATTAATAATAGCTGTCATGTGTTGCGGTTCATATCGGAATATCCGTCCAGATGGGAATCGCCAATTGGGTGGTAATTTTGTGCGACTATTAGCAGGTCTAACATTTTAACAACAGAAACTTTTGTCTGCAATTTTAACATGAGTTGTTATGGGTTTATTGATAAGAATGTAAACACACTGGTGGGTCAGACGAGGCTTTTGAAGTAATTCATTAAAATAGTAGATTGACCTCCCAATAAATCAAGTAACAGACTTTGTTCATTTTGACTACTATTTTGTATGTGCCAAAGAAAATACCACATGAACTTGGATATTATAGACCTGTTAATTTTTGATATTATCGTTAATATTAAGAATTTCAAGTTCCTGTGGAAAAAATTAATATTCTTATCTCTGGCATGCCTACCAAAGTTCATGATGAACAATGTCTTTCGTCTGCCCATTCATAAATGATATACAATTCTGGTAAAAACCAATTAACCATTGAAAAGTTTATAAGAATACTAGTATCTGGTCACCAGATGTCTACTATAGTTCATCTTCACTTGCTGCATTTCTGGCTTGGACGCCCTTCGATGCTTTGCAACAATGCTTTTCTTGTTATTTATTAAAATGCATTTTGAATTATCATGACAACGTGATATGTTGTTATTTTTTGTATATCTATTGACATGGCGATGCACTAAGTTACATGTAAGTTCTGTTAAGAAAATCATTTACTGTTTCTTGAATATTACTAAACGCTGAATTTACTCACTTACATATTTAGGTTGCTAGAACTTAGGAATATATTTATTTACCCATTCCATTTATTATTATCAATTCATAAATAATCTATTTATTTGTTTCTTTGTTTATCTTTTTTTATTTATTTATCATTTTGTAATTTTATTTTATTAAAAGCGTTGGTTTTAGCATTTTAATACCTTCCGTATGAATGTAAATGGACTTATTTAAGTTAAACATAAAACACTTCTCACTTAAACAAATCTGTGCTGATGTCTTTGCTATAGCGAACATTTATCCATAACTTATGAGTGAACGTTATGAACACGAAGTCTAATCGTATCATTGTTTATTAGCTATATAACAAAAAGTAGACCTCAAGCGTTCAATAACTATTAAATAAATTTGAAACAATAAACGTCATAAAGCGTGCCCCATATAATAAGCCAAAGTACTAAGGTATTTAATTTATCTAAAGATTTATGAACATTACACTACTTTAATGACATTCCTATTCAGGTCAAGTTACAACAAATAATAATTTGTGTCTTTATCAATGAGACCACGGTATTTCTTTTGATAATATGTTTGGCAAATCAATTCTGATATATCATATATTGATGTGTTGTTTGTAAGTTATTATTTCTTTGCGTTATTTTCTGAAAAGGAATTTACAAATTACATGCGATTTTTGTAGAATGGATAAAATCATTTTTATTCAGAAAAATGATCCTTTTCATTCACTCATTAACTGAAATAGAATTACAAAAATACAAGTAATGTTTTATCTTTAAGATTAGTTTTTGTTTAGAAGAATAATTAAATGACATTTTATACTGTTCGCATTTTTACTAATAGTTTGATTTAATTCAAAAAAAAGGAAATTTACTCCGTTTTGTAGACGTGATAACAAATGTGACAGTCAAATTTACAATGTAAAAGGGAGATTATACTCACGTAATAGAACATCAAACCTCAACAATTATTTGTTTTAGTGAAGTTAAGTATTTTAATAACCATTATTTACAAGTGTTTATTTAATCAATATTGTGTGATCACGTGTTTGGACACGACAAGACAAGCTTTTAAAAAAGCTATACTAAGTTCTAAAACACATAAAACTTTATATTCTTATATATTATCAACTGAGGCAACTTAAAGCGGAATAATGTGCAAATGATGATTAAGAAATTTACTTACAATTTATTCAAAAATCGATTTTTATGCGATTCTTACCCATTTTGAGTACGGTTTTAATTTGGAAAAAAGTACTTTACGAATGATATAAAATTTTGCACACAAGTTATTTGTTCAGATCTACATCGAACACATGATACATATTTCTTGGATAAAAATGAACGCGACACATAATTATGAAGTAATGCTTCCGGGTAACGAAAAGACAATGTTTGATCTTCTTTGTTTTCAACGATAGATTTGGACGGGGAAAAACAAGAAATGATGGCCTCACGCGTTGATCAAGAGAAACTAGTTCACTTCTTTTGGATGGCAAGATAATGATTCCGCAAATCAGTACTTTCGAAGTAAGTGCAGCAGTGCAGATCAATGCAAAGTTTTTCATTCAAAGTAGATCTTATAATTATGTTTCTTTTGGGGGGATATATATTGAAATGTGTCAAAAGTGAAATATTTTAGGCCTTGGCACATGTTTACAATTTCAAGATATTTAAACGCTACTTATTTATTAAAATTTTAACTTCTCGTTTCATTGAACTTGTAAGTAAAAGCGAATAAGGTTGAGAAAAGAGGCATATAAAATTACGATTCTGCGGTTAAAGAAGATAATTTCAAATTGAATCTTTCGCCGCGTGATTGCTTTATTGTAATGTTACCCGAGTCTTTAGATTTTCAGTCGGTATTAATGAACTTTTAAGAAACCACTCCCAACGAAGAACTAACTATATGTATATACATTAACAATGTCAAGTAGACTAGTGCTCGAGGATATTGCTTTTAATAATATATTTAATTATGTGCGTTATGTGACTTAAAGAATCAATAAATGATTGACGTATGATTTTCTTTTTTGGTACAGCTGAATTAAAGCTTATAAATTTGCGTCATTTTGAGGATTTGATGCCATTAAAGTTTGAGGTTTTTCCACAAGATGTTCGACTACATTTCTTTTTCTGTAAGTCTGAAATAAGTATACATTTGTTTCCATATATGATAAATAAATAATTGAACAACACAAGAAAAGCATTGTCTTTTATATAAACATTTATTGGTTTTTGGTAATAATTCCTGATATTATTCATGTTATATGCAGAATTATTTACATTGATTTGAACATAATTTAATATTCTTAAAGAAAACAAAGCAACACCAGGGGTCAAAACCATCAGCTAAGAGATGCCTTACTCCAGTAATTCTTACAATCACGCAGGGTTAAACAGTGGCTGAATTTCTGATCCCTCAACCCGTAAAAGCAACCCTTTGCCACAAGGGGCCTTACAATTAGTATGTTACAAAGTTTTGTACCCTTTTGAAAACAATTTTTGTTTTTTTTTCAAAAAAATCGAAAAAAGCCCCTTTCCAAAATTAATGAAAATTTTTAAAGATTTTAAAAAAAATTTTTTTTTTTTTATAGTTTTTTTTCCCGAAAACCCAAAAAAAAATTTTTGGGCCCTTTTAAATGAAAATTTTTTATTTTGGAAATGAATGGTTTTTTGATTGCAAAGTGTTTTTAAAAAATTTTTTGAATACATTTGTTTTTTTAAATTTTGATCCCAAACCTATCGCTTTTAATTTTTAAAACCAAAAAGGGGGATTGCTTAAAATTTCCCTTTTTAATAAAAAGGGTTCTTTAAAACAATGTAGGAAAATCTTTGTTTAAAAAAAAAACCCCCAAAAAATATTTTTTTTTATTTTTTTCAAATTCCTTTCTGATTCCAAATTTGTTTCAGGGGAAAACATTTTTTGTTATTTTTTTTTCCTTTTAAAAGGATTTGGTAAGGGGAAAAAATTTATACAAAAAAAATGCATTTTTTTTGCCTTTAAAATGAAAAACCAAAAAAAACCTTTTTTAAAAAAAATTTTTGGGGGCACCGAATAAAGTTGTTTTAAAAAAACTTTTTTAAAATTTTAAAAAAAATGAAAAACCCTGATTTTTGGCTTGGGGAAATTTCCTTTTAAAAAATTGGTTTTAAAAATTTGTTTTGTAAATTTTTTCCAACTAAAATAAAAAAAAAAAAGAAATATTTTAAAAAAAACCCCCAAAGAAAAAATTTTTGAAAAAGGTAACCAAAGTTTTAAAAAAAAAAAAAAAAAAAAAAAGGAAAAAAAAAAAAAAAGTATACATTTGAAATTTTTTAAAAAAACCAGAAAAAAGGGGGGGAAAAAAAAATTTTAATAAAAAAAAAAAAAAAAAAAAAAACAAAAAAAAATTTTTTTTAAACCCCCAAAGTTTTTAAAAAAACCCCAAAATTTTAATAAAAATAGAAAGAAAAGAATAAAAAACCCAAACCAAAAATCTTGCAAAAATTTAAAAAATATTTTAAAATTTTTTAACCAAAAAAAGGAAAATAAAAAATAATTTTTTGGGGCCAAAAAATATTTTTTAGGAAAAACAAACAAAATTTTAATTTTTTAAAAATACAAAAGGCCAAAAGGTTTTTTTTTAAATTTTTAAAAATTAAAGTTTTTAAAAAAAATAAGAAAATTTTTTTAAATTAAAAAAAAAAATTTGCTTTTAAATAATCTAAAATTTTTGAAAAAACACAAATTTTTTTAATAAAAATTTTAAAAAAATCAAAGAAAATTTTTATAATTAAAAACAAAAATAGAAAAATTAAAAAAAAAAAGGGGGGAAAAAAAGGTTTTTAAAAAAAGGGAAAAAGGAACCTGCATTTAAAAGAAAACAAAATAATTCTTAGATTAGTACTACTTTTCTGCAGACGTTTTTCCTTACACTGCTGAAAAATACAGTTTATTCATGGATCCAAGAAGCCTTTTGGGCATAGAAAGAGTGATTTTAGATGATAAAGATTATATTTATAAGACTTCTAACTAAATATAAAGGCATTTTGCATTGATATGAAAATAAAATAATTCTTTGAATAGTGCTACCTCATCTGCAGCTTGGTTTTTATACACTCTCGTCATCTGTATTTTATCCATGAATCCCAGATGCATTTTTGGCTCACAAATGTGCATATGGTTTAGATCCTATATACAGGAATTCCAACTGAATGTAAAGGCATCTTGTATTAAGATGAAAATAAAATACTTCTTGAAAAAGTGCTACTTGATCTACAGTTTGTTTTAAATTTTTGACAACTGTATTTTATTCTTGAATCCCATATGACTTTTGAGCTCAGAATTCCTGCAATAGTGCTTCTTGATATGCAGAAAGCCTTATACACTGTTGACAACTGTATTTTTGCATTAAACCCCAGAAGCCTTTTGGGCATAGAAAAGATGTATTTAGATCGTTAAGATCGTACTTAGTTTAAGGACTTTCAACTAAATTAGACTTTAAAAGAAGACATCTTGCAATTACATAAACACAAAATAACTTGGAATAGTGCTTCTTGAACTGTAGAAAGGTTTTTAAACTGTTGACAGGAATATTTTGAGCATGACTCCAAGTAGCCTTACAGGCATAGAAAAATATGCATTTAGATGGCCAGGATTCTATTTATAGGACTTCCAACTAAATGTAAATGCATCTTGCATTTAAATGGAAAACAAAATACTTCTTGGAAGTTTTGTTACTTGATGTACAGCTTGTATTTATACACTGTTGACAATTGTGTTTTATTTTATGAATACCAGAAGCCTTATGGGCTCATTAATAATGCATTTAATGGTTAGGATTCTATTTATAGGACTTCCAAGTAACCTAAAAGGCCTCTTGCATTTAAATTAAAGCAGAATGATACCTGGAATAATGCTACTTGATATGCAGAAGGTTTTTTACAATGTTGACAACTGTAATTTTTTCATGAATCGCAAAAGCCTTTTGGGCATAGAAAAGAAGCAGTTAGATGGTTAAGATCCTACTTTAAGGACTTTCAACTAAATTTAACAACATCTTGCTATTACATAAAGACAAAATACTTCTTAGAATAGTGCTTCTTAAACTGTAGAAGGATTTTTAAGCTGTTGACAGGTAGATCACAGCATAGACAAAACGCATTTAGATGGTTAAGATTCTGCTCAGAAAACGTGCTTTTAGATGGTGTAGATGCTACATAAAGGATTTCCAACTATACTTTAAGGCACCTGCATTTAATAGAAAACAAAAATAATACTTAGAATTGTGTTACTTGATCTGAAAAAGATTTTTCACACACTGTTGACAGTTGTATTTTATTCATTAAATCAAAAAAAGCCCGTTTTGACATAGGAAATAGTGCTTTTATGATGAATAATATCCAATTTTTATTGGGACATCAGCTAAACGAAAAAGAAAATTAAGAAATAAAATTAAGGGCAAAAAGGGAAGATACTTACTTTGCTTTTAGATGGTTTTATCCCATATTATAGAACTTCCAATTAAACCTAAAGGCATTGCATTAAAAAAGGAAATAAATTGAATTCTTGGAAAAAAGTGCTACATGTTCGCAGAATGAATGCTTTTTACGCTGTTGAACAAACTGATTTTATTCATGAATCCCAGTAGTATTTGGCATAAGAAAAGGTGCATTTGGATGGTTTAGATCGTACATATAAGTCTTCCAGCTAACCTTAAAGGCATCTTGCATTTAAATTGCATTTTTATACACTATTGACAACTGTATTTCATTCATGAATCCTAGAAGACTTTTGGGCCTATAAAAGGTGCTTTTCGATGATGAAGATTCTATTTATAGGACTTCCAACTTAACGTAAATCCCAGAAGCCTTGAAAAGGTGCTCTTTCTATAGGATTATTATATAGATTCTATTTATAGTACGTCCAATTAAACTTAAAGGCATCTTGCATCAAAATGAAAAACAAAATACGTCTAAGAATAGTGCTTTTTGATCTACAGCTTGTTTTTACACTATTGACAATTGTATTTTATTCATAAATCCCAGAGGCCGTTTGGGCTTAGAAAATTTGCATTTAGATTGTAAAGATTCTATTTAAAGGATTTTCAACTAAACGAAAATCCCAGAAGCCTTTTGGGTCAAGAAAATGTGCTTTTAGATTGTTAAGGTTCTTTTTATAGGATATCCAACTAAACTTAAAGGTATCTTGCATTTACAGAAAAAACAAAATACTTCTTAGAATACTGCTGCTTGATCTACAGCTTGTTCCTTTTTTACAATGTTGACAACTGTATTCTATTCATGAATCTCATATGCCTTTTGGGTATAGAAAATGTGTATTTAGATGGTTAAGATCCTATTTACATGACTTCCAGATAAACTTAAGAAGGCATCTTACATTTAAATGAAACCAAAATAAATCTTGGAATAGTGCTTCTTGATCTGCAGATTTATTTTCTTCATCTTCACATTTTATTCATAACCCCAGAAACCTATTGGGCCTAGAAAAGGTGCTTTTACTTGATTATGTGTTATTTATAGGACGTCCAACTAAACTTAAAGGCATCTTGCATTTACCTGAAAACAAACTTATTCTTTGAAAAGTGTTTTATTATCTACAAAAGGTTTTTATTACACTGTCGACAACTGTATTTCATTAATGAATCCTAGAAGCATATTTGGCATTGAAAAGATGCACTTAGAATGGTTAAGATTCTATTTATATGACTTCAAACTAAACTTAAAGGCATCTTGCAATTAAATGAAAACAAAATGCTTCTTGGATAAGTGCTTCTTGATCTGCAGAAGGTTTTTTATACTGTTGCCAACTGTATAATATTCATGACTCTCAGACGCCTTTTGAGCATAGAAAATATTTCTATTATTTATAAACCGATTTTATTATTGTTTAAAACCAGTATACGTACAAACAAATTTACCTTAACCGTATAAGAGTATATCTTCTTAGTCGTCTTGTGGCAAAATCTTGGTAACGTGGCATGAACCAAAAAAGAACTCAAAAAGGAACTTTAAATGAAATAGTAATGTTCTTTTGATTACAAATGTCCCCGCCTTGGTGGTCTCTTAGTATTAAAATGGTAATTAATTTATAATTATTTTTTGGACAAGTTTTAAAGAATGGGGCTCTTTTTAATTTAAAAATTTTTTTTTATACTAAAACAAATTTGCATTTGGGGTTGCCCCGCCGTTTTGGGGTGCTTTTTTTTCCTTTGGTAGCTAAAATTAAAAATCTTATTATTATTATGTTTTAAAAATTTAATATCATTTTATTTTTATTTAGTATGAGAATTTGACATTAAATTTTTTTTCCAAAAATAAACCTTTGTTTTATTTGGAAAAGTCACACTTTACTGTCATTTGACTTTTTCATTTCTTTTGAATTGATGACTGCATTTCTGGTGGAACTCTTTTCAACGATATTGTTTTAAAGCGCGTCTTTCTTGAATAAATGTTACATGGATAAACTTTAATTTTTTAAAAGATGTGTTACAGGAATAACATGCATAGTGGAACATTTACACTTTTTACCTTTTAAATGATGATGTATGCATGTATATGCGCAACAAAATAATAAAATGAAGATTATGTTTAATTGTCTGTACGGTTAACACAATTTCTATATTCCAGTTTCACTAGATGCTGGTCGCCCAGCGATTGGCCAGAACGCGCTTAGTGGACAAGTCTTCAGCAGGCCTAACATAAGGACCGGTAATAGCACTTATTTTTTCTAGATGATTTTAATCCTATAAAGAAGACTTCAAACTAAACTTGAACTTATTTTAAGAGAATCTATCGGCTTCATTTTATTCGGATTTTATAGATCATATTTTGGGATAAATAAAACAGACAATTTATTTCCTTTAGTTGTTGTAAATCAATTAGAATTTAAATAACATATAGTTTAGCTGTTGATGTAGAACTGTAGAACAAAATAAAATTTACTTCCGGTATGACTGTACGTCAAAGGGACAGTAACTAGTTTGAATTAAATCAAAATTGAATTTATCTCACCTCCCTTTACTGAATACATGTTCTACAACCAAATAAGTCATGCCAAGTCATGTTCTTCCATAAACATTTAAAATGCAAAGAAAAATGTCATTAATTATAAAAGCGTTGGAATATCTAAATAATGTCGATTAGACTATACTTTGTTTGCGTTTCATAAACAACTTTCAATTTTAGATCTACCATTTCAGAAATGACATGTCTCTTCTTTTTTTTCTTTTTTTTTTTGGTAAAAATTTAATTTTCGGTAGAGAAGGACATTGCTTCATCACATCTCACCTATCAATCAACATTGTTTTCAGAGAGATATATAAGTATTTTGCCAACTAACACAACTACCACAATCTATTATGATGCAATGGGAACTGTGTGTCTTCATAAAGCCCAGCACAAGATTGTTACGTCCGGTATGATGCAATTTTCTGATTTGGCGATGTTATTGATAATTTTTCAAGAAGTTAATCTCTCTTATTTCTTTTTGATTTTAAAATTGTTTTATTTATATGCAAACTAGAAAAATATTCCCTAACATTTAAGCCAGAAACTGTACATGATTCAATTCTTCCAAATCATCGTCGCAATTATTTTGAAACAACGTGCGCTTTAGCAAAGAATTTGTGCGGAAACTTCGATCATTAAATTTGCATGAAATCGAGATATTGGAAATGCATTTGAAACTAAATACGTATTATTAAGTGAAATATGTGTAACTATTGTTATGTTAATAATTATATGCTCTTGTTAGTTTTTTGCCATAACAGACATACATCTTAATTACTAGCATTTTGGAATATCTGACGAGCTTTTTCTTTTCAGAAGATACGTTTTTTAAGTTACATTTCGTTAACACTATCAAAGAATAAGCTCTAATAGTTTTAATCATCCTAATGAACATTCTTTACGAGACTTAATCTTTATTTTTTCAGGTCAGACATTAAGCCAACAGATAGAATATGACGTATATTATTATGGATCACTTATGCAGTTTGAGCATTTGAGGGAAATGTCGGTATAATAGTTGAATGATATTTTAAATGAAATATTTGTACCAGTAAAATATCAAAATATTCATGGTTTACCTTATTTTATAAAGTGTAATTCTATTTAATGATCGGTGTTTGTACAATAATTATAATAATGTAATTTTAGCTACATATATTGTCACGAGTCTTAAATCTTGGTTCCAAAAAAAAAAAAAAAATAGTTTGAACTTAAAAATTGTTAATTATGCAAATGTAACTATATAGTAAATAACAGCACTCTTTATAGATTTGTATGACTAACTTTTATTCAACCTTCGGGGTTTCAAAACTATTCTATTAAAACAATAGCAGACTCAATTACTTCTTTAATTAAAGATATTACTAGTATAGTTGACGATGCATTTCTTTTCGTTTTAAGTGTTTCTTGCTTTTAAATTTCTGATATAAGTGTATACCCGGTACAGATAACTAACGTTACGTTAATGTCTCTGGCATTTAAAAACTATGATTTTAATCCGGAACAAAAAGTTCATTTGTTAAAGCTTTTAATGTCCTTCATGACACCAGCATGGAGTTCTTAGACACGGAACTTAAAAATTCCAGTACGCCTTAACCAGTTGTCCGCTGATCGAGTTTTTAAACCATTTACAGAATAAAATGGTTTTGATGTTTTAGACATGAGCTATACTATAAATATTAGTAATTTTTTTTACCACGTAGCACCAAAAATGGAGGGCAATAAAGACGATGAAAAGATAGTTATACCTTTATTTTAATAAAAAAAGACAAATGGAAAAAAATAAATAACAAAAAATTCAATTCATATCTGAAAAAACAATAAGAAACCTGGCATTAAAATTTAAACCATTTTATTAAATACAAAATATACAAATTTTCAAACCTGTAAAAACAGCAACACTCATTTCAAAAACTTTCTTAAATAAATATTTATTTTAAATAAATTTTATATTATCGAAAAATTAAAATTGTTTAACAGCAAAATTGGGCAAAAATGTTTTGCTGAGATTATTATCATATTCATATCAATTTAAAACGGAAATAAAAACGGGTTATTAACTCGGTTAAATACACCGAATTAGCTGCTGAACCTCTCCCTTTTTTTAACTGTAACCTTTGCACCTGAAGAATAAAAATTTTAAAAAATTTGTTAAAATTAAAAAATTTTCTATGCACGATACCAGGTCCACATTCATCATACTCTTGTTTTGAAATCCACATCTGACCAAATGTCGACAAGGAAGAGAGAATTGATCCCTCCGATCCAGACAGAGTACTTCCGCTCTGGTGGAGCAATGACCTTCACCTTCATCGCGCTTGGAACAAGATTGTCGAGCTCATGTTTTCATTCTGTCTGCGATTGCCAGGAAACATAGTTGTGCCAGTGAGCCTGACAATACAACATTTTGCAAACAAGTCCTTTTCGTATGTCTATATCGGATTTCATTACAGAATTATAAAGTAGTTCGTGAGCACCGACGTTTTCCATTCCAATGAAGGAAGGTTGAAATAATGTTTCAAAACACATCGGAAATCTCTTTCATTTCCTATAGTGATAACCTGTCCGTCTGGAAGTTCATAACTTTTTTCAGCGATTGACGAGCTGGCAGCTGAATCCATCTCTGCTTCAAATTCTAGAGCAGCGTAAACACATTTTCTCCTTTATGTCGCGAACTATTTCTTATCTCAGAAGAACTCGTAAAGTTGTATCCACGCTCATGAAGAATACGTGCCAAATATTTTGTCAAATCTCTACCTGCTAAATCCATCCGCTGAATTGCATGAGGCAATGCATACCCTTCATAAATCGGAACAACATGAGAAACACCATCCCGGAGTCAAATACAACACCAGTTGTACGCCCGGCGGCATACAGAGACAGAACAGCTTGTATCGGAAACGTAAAAAGGCTGGAGCATTGAAGGTTTCAAAACATAATCTGTGTCATTTTTTCTCTGTTTGCCTTAGGATTCATCGGAGCTTCTGTTAAAAGGACAGGGTGTTCTTCTGGTGCAACACGGAGCCTCATTATAAAATGTATGATGCCATATTTTCTCCATATCGTCCCAGTTTGTAACAATGCCCATGTTCCACGGGATATCTAAGCGACAGGATACCTCGTTTACTTTGAGCCTCGTCACCAATATATGTATCTTTCCCGCCCATCCCCGCCATAACAATGTCATATCTTGGCCGTCCTGTCAGAGCTGGGAATACAGCCCCTTGGTGCATCATCGCCGGCAAATCCTGCCTTACACATACCCGAACCGTTGTCAATAACGACAGCAGATATGTCTTCTTCGTACGAATAACTCATTTTATCTAAAACACACAAACATTAAATATAAACATGGTATTTTAAACATTTTGCCTAGACACTAGATACAGTATATCTTTATTCTATGTGTTTTTTCATGGTTATTATAAATTTGATATTTTCATTTATAGTTGTATATAATGACGAAGTTTTTTTATAATTATGTTAAGATAATGATGGGAAAAATATAAAGAAAAACCCAAAAAAAATTTTTAAAAAATTCTAAAAACAGAAAATGGAAAGCAAAATTTTGGGGTTCTTTCAAAAACTTTAAAATATATATTTGGAACAAAAAATTTATTCTTATTTTCGTTAAAATTTCAGAAAAAAATTTTTTTTAAAATTTTTTCCAGGAAAAATTTCTTGACGTTCCAATATCATTAAAGTTAAAAAAAGCCCAAAAAATAAATGCATTTTAAATTTTTTAAAAAGGGTAATTAAAATTTTAACTTTAAATTATTTTTAAATTTTTTTTCTTAAAACCCGAAAAAAATGTAAATTTGAAAATACTTTTTTGAAGGAAAGTATACAAATATTTTGCTTCCCCTTAAAAATACAATACTTTAAAACTGTATTTATTGCCAGTATCAACGAGATAAGTATAATCTATTTAACCAATGAGTAACTTACTTGAAACTATAAAAGTACACTTAAAATAAAAAACTTTTGAGAAAAAAAGAATTTAAGGCATTTCTTGGGCCTGTAAACTTGTCTGTATTAGCGGTAAAAATGAAGATTTTGGAGTAGACAAAGGTGTTGTATGATTGACTTAACAGTCGATCTCATTGTATACAATAGTCTGATTTACTGGCCTGTCAATTATGAAAAACATTAAAGCACTCATTTAAATATTCGATTCAATTTCGGTTCTGTCCGTATAGATTACGAGAATTAATTTGGAATATATGACTAATATTTTTAAAGTCACACTATCTGAATATTTATGTTCTGGTCATAACATTGGTCGGTTAAGTGATTACCTAATATATTGGAGGTATATGGTTCGACCCATTCTTTCTTTGTTTTTGAAGTATGTTCTAATGAATAGGGCTTGCAAAATAGTCTACAAAGATATGGAACAACTTAGAAACACAAGTTTGTCTGTTTTGTATCGAACTTGATGGCATTTATTGATTTTAATTTTAATTCTAAAACCATGCTTTTTAAAAACTGTATGGTCTTTGCCAAAATGAGTGCAAAACATATAAAAAAAACAACAACAATAAACAAACAAAAACAAAAAAAAACTTTAAAAAATATTAATAAGAAAATACAGACAATCGCGGACAGACAAACCTGGTAGCTTACTAGTACCCTATTGCACTATGACGGACAGTATAACTATTTCATGGAAACAAATTAAATTTAATCAAATCTTATAGCGTAAATCTCACGAAGTTTATCGATCATTTATCGAAGATTAATATATTGTGTGCATTGACCGTGTAATCTGTATGCAATTGACAGGTAAATAAAATCAAACAATAAAACTTGACATTTGTGTAAATTATACAAGTTTAATAAAGATAGTTAAACTATATAACAGTTGATGTTTTAATTTTTCCACTAATATTGCATGTTTTGAAAAATATTGTAAACTGTATTAGAGAGAAATATAACTTACTTTCTGTTTGAATGTTTTAAACTATCCACAAATATGTCTTCAATGTTCGGTTTGTTTTGATGTAAAATAGAGGGCCCAGCCATATTTATACTTAAGGGACTTACTATAAAAGTAAATGTGTCACTTAAAATTCTACGAAAACTCTGTCATATAAGGAGTTGTCTGTTTGTAACCGTGCTATATTTATATCTGACATATTTAGATTAAAAGTACGGTTAGTCATGTTGTATATACAGTATGTCACTGTGCTAAATATAGATATGATCGATACCGTTGATTGATTTTTACATTGTATAGTGCTATATTTATCGGGTATATATACATGTATATAGTTTATATGGTTGTATATTCTAATGTAAACCTTATTCAAAACACGACACCGCAAAATTTAAATTAAAGCATGACCAACCGAGCTTGATTTTGTATGTTGTATATGTTGTCAATTAAACAACATTTATTTTGCGATAAGACCTTATTAAACTAAATAATTTTTATCATTATACATTTAAATGTATTTGCTTCTGAATTATACAAAGTTCATTGCAAACGAACATTGTTTATAAAAAGACATTTATTAATAAACTGAACATATACTATTCATGTATTAAGACCATTTGGGAAAATATATTACTTAAGTGAATTTACAGCTTTTATGTTACATACACATTGTCCCGCATTTTTTATCAAATAAAAAGAAAATGTATGCATCTTGCTTTTAATGTGTATATGTTGTATATGTTTTATGCTCATTTAGTTCTGCAATAAAGATAAGATGTATCACTACACTTGTAAGGTATATGACTATTGTTTCCTATTTTGTAGTTCAATATGTTATTTTGTATTATTTACAGACTGAATATTATAAGCGAATGTGATTTTATCGCCAGGCGTTTTTATATCCGTTTTTCCCAAATCATGCACTCTTTTCTGTTTGTCGTTATCAAGACAACCTGCCGGAAACTTAAGATCATCCCTGTCAGCATACGCATCTGCAAATAGTTTTTCTTGGAAAATGAAATTCCCCATACATAAAAAGAATCTTGTGTTATATAGGATTAGCAAACCAATTACTTTTGCAAACTGAATGAAAAGAGGAGAACCTCACCCCCATTTTTCTCATGGAACTTTTCTGATGATACCAGGAAAGACATAATTATACTTTTTTAATTCAAATTCAAAGATACGTTAAAGGAAATTTCTTCCTCTATCCTAGATA